GCTCCCACCATCGAGTTAGTAGTCATCAAATCAGCTCCAACTGAGGGTGACCTCACATACAACAGATGAACAATTGCCTAGTCTTGTGCCATCTTCACAATTGTGGGTTTTTTTGTTTGTTTGTTTGTTTTTTACATCTTTTTTAGAAGGATGTTGCTGACTCTTTGATACGAGGCCAGTGGGTTATAGTTCAAACAGTGACTGTTGGTTTTCTTAAGCCCATTGTTCTAACAAGTGTATATTTTTGAGTGCCTTCCATTCTAGAGCGCTCATCTTCTAGTACAATATCACATAATAGTCTGCTGCCATCCCTAAGATTTTCACTGGCTGGTTTTTGGAAGTAGATTGCCAGGCCTTTCTTCCTAGTCTGCCTTAGTCTAGGAGCTCAACTGAAATCTGTCCACTGCAGGTTACCCTGCTGGTATTTGAAATACTGGTGGCATAGATTCCAGCATCATAGCAACACGTAAGCTGTCACAGATAGGTGGTGAACAAGATTCCAGTGTTCAGTGTACATACCTATTTTACCACTTTGATCACTCATTTTAATCTGGTTGCATTGATGTGGTATTAGTCCTTCTGCTTTCCAAATATGCTATAGTAATCTACAATGTAGAGTTGTCACATTTATGTAGAAATATCCCAGTCCTTGCCATCATCTTCTCCATTTTGTGTAGCTCCAGTTATCAGCTGTCCTTCACTCCCTCTCTAATTGAACACTCCATAACCTGTCTTGCCTCACACCTGTTGTCTCTACCAGGGTCACTGACCTCACCACCATGTTAGAGCTGTTGCACCAGAGACTGTTCTAAGTGTTGGGGACACAGCAGCAAACAAAACAGACTGAGTCCATCCTCTCAAGGAAATGATATTCTGGGGGTAGGCAGGAAGAGGGAAGAGTAGGTAATTACAAACTAAATTTATTATGTCAAGAGTTATAAGAAAGCACAGAACAGGGTAAGTGGATACTCTGATGTAAGATTAGTCAGGAAAGCCTCTTTGATAAGGGATCATTTGAACAGAATCTTAAAGGAATTGTGGAAGCAGTGTTGCAGAAAATTGAGACAAAGTATTCCAGGGAGAAGGAAAAAAAAGTGAAAAGGCCTTGAGGCAGAACAGGGTTTACATATCCCTTCTGGAGAGAGCAGTCCCTGACACTACAATTTCAATTACATTCTATTTTTCTTTCTCAAGGTACACTATTCTTTTATATTGTTCATCTCCAGGAGCTCTGGTAGTGTAGTGCTTAAGGCATATGACTGCTAACCAGAAGGTTGGTGGTTCAAACCCACCAGCCACTCCTTGGAAGGAAGGTTGGGCAATCTACTTCTGCAGTGATACTGCCTCAGAAACCCAAGGAGGGGTCGCCATGAGTCGGATATGACTCAACAGCACTGGGTTTTTTGTTTATATGTATCTTATATATATTTAACTATATGTAATTCACTTGTTTAATTAGTCTCCTCCCTCTGGATTGTAAACTCCATGAAGGCAGGGATTATTAACTGTTGTTTCCCATCATTTGTATATCCAGAGCCCACCATCCTGCTTCCTGCCTGACATTTAAATTGTTATTGAATCAGCCAATAAATTAAAAAAAGTGTTATTAAGTGCATCACTCTCAATGTTTCCTGCACAATATGAGGTGGTTTTTTCCCTTAGAAATTAATGAAACAAAGAAAGAAAAAGTCTGTCCTGAAAAACTGGTATGCGTCTTTCTTTGAACTAAAAACAAAACAAAAACTCCACTGCTATAGAGTGGATTCCAACTCATAGTGATCCCCACTGGGTTTCCAAGGCTGTACAGATTACCTCATCTTCCTCCTATGGAGCAGCTGGCGGGTTTAAACCACTCACCTTCTGGTTAGCAGCCAAATGCCTCATGCATTGCACCACCCGAGCTCATTTCTTTCAACTGTTGTCATGTGCCGTCGAGTCAGACCCCATTCACAGCAACCCCTCCTTGGGTTTCCGAGGCAGTATCACTACGGAAGTACATTGCCCAACCTTGCTTCCGAGGAGTGGCTGGTGGGTTTGAACTGCCAGCCTTCTGGTTAGGCACTATGCTACCAGCGCTCCCTTCTTTCAACTGGTGACCTTTAATTGAATATAACTCTATGATCTGTCTGCATTATAAATGCAGACAGCCTATGTCCCAAGCTTCTAGGCAGCCATAAGACCATTAAGAATGGACACATACATCCACTGCCATCACCTAGTGGTTGAGCTGGACACACAAGACACAGTGTTGACCAAGTGAAAGCCATTATTATTTATAGAAAGCAAATAGTAAACAATAATAGTTTTTCAAAAGGGAAAATGCTTACCCTTCCCGAAATTACCTGTGTCCATTCCTATGTCACTGGGCAGGCACATCGTGGTTCAGGTCAGATGTTGTGTTCATGTCACTGCTGCCTTTGTCCACCATCATGCTACCTAATACTTCTGCTCTGCCAGTGGGCCTCGCTTGCTCACTGTGGCTGGAAGAGCCTTGCACAGGAACTCCCAAGCTCTGTCTCCGAGCCCTTCTAAGCCTCTGTTCCTCCCACCATGCTACCTGGGCCTGTGAGGTTCTTTGCCACCATGCTACCCGAGCCTCCCCTAGCCAGGGTGGGAGGTGTGCAATCCTGCAAGTGTTACAGCTCTTTTACTTCCACCAGCAAACCACCTTCCCAAAGGTGTCAGTTCTTACTTCATGGGCTGGCAAGCTCACTGCCACAATCTCATACTATCTCCACTGTGTTCAGTGTTATAGCTCTTTTTTTTTTTTTCCTGAGTGTTGGAGGGTCTCAGCACAGGGACCCCAGGACCTTGGTCCAAAGGATGAACTCTGCTCCAGATTCTTCTTGATAAGAGTGAGAGCCACCTAAACCTCTGTGGGGTTGGACTTTATATGAGCAGACTGTGCCAATTTCAAGGCAAGGCTTGGCCCTCCCAACAGGACCAATCTTTTTGGTAGATCATAAATCACTCAATCTGTATAGTCCCACCCAGTTATTTTGTGGGAGTTACAAGATCATAGTTAGAAAGGGCATATAAAAGCAATTCATTGCACCACAATAATAATGTATTTATTTCTGTTTTTGGGTGCAAGGAATTTTATGTTCAGTAAAAACACGTCAATTAAGATTTGGGGTTAGCATATTTACTTGTTCCTGTTAATGATTAAACTGAATTTCTGTTCTTGTATTAATTGGATTTCTTATTCGTGTAATTTGGTTAAAATAAGAATCAGAAAGGAGTGATAGTTAGGTAGAAGGTAAGAAAAGAAGAACAAAAGAGAGAGAGAGAAGGGAAGAGAAAAAAATACATTTCACACTATCATTTGTCACCCAGAAGGACTCTGCTTTGCAAACTGAGATTGGGAATGTAGCTCAAGCATTAAATATTATGATAGTGATTGGCATGTATCAAGACCCATGTCAAGTATTTTACATCCATAGTCTTATTTAATTTTGACAACAGTTCTATAGGGTAAGGAGCTCTGGTGTCATAGTGCCTAAGGCACTTGACTGCTAACCAGAAGCCTGGTGGTTTAAACCCACCAGCCATTCCTTGGAAGGGAGACTGGACAATCTACTTTTGTAAAGATACTGCCTTGGAAACCCAAGGAGGGGTTGCTATGAGTTGGGACCAATTCGACAGCAGTGAGTCTGTGGCCAGTCTATAGGGTAGGTATCAATAGCCCCATTTTACAGATAAGGAAATTAAGACTCAAAGAGGTTAAATAACTGCAAAGAAGAAGGATTAAATGAGTTATATCTGACAGCTGTTAGATTTAAATCCAAACTGTTCAGATATTCCTCCCCTTCCCCTAAATTTTGATCCTGTCTCATCTAATTCATAAGGAGAATGGACTCTCCAGTCCTTCCAATGGCAATCATTGACTCATCTTGAAGAGCTGAGGGAGGGCCCTTACAAACTCTTATCCCCTTGTCCCTGATTGGTGCAAACAGTTAACACACTTGATTGTTAACCAAAGGTTGGTGGTTCAAGTTTACCCACAGACTGCCTTGAAATAAAGGCCTGATGATCTACTTCAGATATCAGCCATTGAAAATCTTATGGATCACAGTCCTACACTGACACACATAGGGTAGCCATGAGTCAGAATCAACTGGATGGCAACTGGTTTTATTGTCCCCTTATGCAACAACTCCTGAATTCAAGTACATCCAACATTATCTAAATTATTTTTAAATAGCAAAAGAATGCACTACACCCACTGCAAACTGGTAAGGCAAACAGACCTGTGCTGAGAAAGGTGATAATGAATTCAGCATTGGCACTTCTGAGGAAACTATAAGAAAACACCCAGGGGTTCCAGCTAGTTCCAAAAGGGAAACATCTCTCTGCTTTATGGAGCCTTCCAGTATCTCTTGGGCAGCTAGCAGCGCCAGGCCTGGAACCTTGGGTAATCCCTGAGGCTCCGGATTCCTGACTGTGGAGCCCAGGAGAGAGGACAGTGCTTAAGCTCCCGTGCGCACACTGGGCACACGCACGCGCGCGCGCGCGCGCACACACACACACACACACACACACACACACAGAGCACACATATGCTCACGCACACACACTCCACGCGGTCACAGACCACAGACGGCACAACAGAGGCACTTGCACCCGCACATACACACCATACCCCCCACAGTTATCACACCACGTACACAGGCACAGGCGGCCTCCCACACATTCTCCCTCTCAAGCTGCCCCACACCCGGGCGCGCGCACACACGACCCGCGGACACGCGCACCCCAGCGCACACTCGGCCGCCGAGCCGGAGAGGTGCCACAGCAGAGGTGCCGGCGGGGCGCGGCCAGGAGAGGGCGCGGTGAGGGGTGCGGCAGGCGCCCGAATAGTTCCCCGAGCCCGGCTGTGCGCTGCTCCCAGGGCCGGGCCGGGCCGGGCCGGGCCGGGCGGGGCGGGGCGGGGCGGCCCGGAGGGAGCCAGGCCGGGCCTGCGCCGGCGCCCACGAACAGAGAGCCACCAGACAAGCGCCATGGACTCAAAGGCGGGCGGCGGCGGTGGCGAGGAAGATGACTGCGTGGACTCAGGCGCTGAGACCGGAGGGTGAGCCGCGGCGGGCTATGGGAGGGGAGCGCTCTCCGAGTTGCGCGGTGGCTCTGTCCGGGCCAGGTGGCGCTTTCCGAGTTGGTGCCGCTGAGGCGGTATGGGGCGCGGTTTCCCCGCCCTGCCGAGACTCCTGGAGAAGCGGAGGGGCTGCGTCCGGCCGCTGCCTTGCGGACCTTGGCTGTCCGGGGCTGCGGTCTCCGCCGCGGGAGGAGGAAAGTGGAAAGACTCCTGGTACTGTTAGAAAACCCTCTTTCCCCTCCACACATTCCACTCCTCTCTCTTCTTGCCCCGGTCAGTGAGATGATGTGGTGTGCCAGACAAATGCAGTGTCTCTTTGTCATTCCTCTTAGAGAGACGGAGTGCTCTTGCACTTGTTTCGACCTTCCTCGAGGACTTCTTCCTCCTCAGCTCCAGAGCCCCCTGGAGTCCGGGATGAGGGTTGGGATGGGGAGAGGAGGAAAAGCGAGGGTAGAACACCCAGCACTTTAAAGGCTTCCAGAAGTCTGCTAAGATGACGGCATGTTGCAGTTTATGGCTTTATTGTGAGGCTTTAACCAGACGGCTGGCGGTTCAAACCCACCAGCCACTCCTCGGAAGGAAGGTTGGGCAATCCTACTTCCGTAGTGATACTGCCTCGGAAACCCAAGGAGGGGTCGCTATGAGTCGGGTTTGACTCGACGGCACATAACAACAACAACAACACAATCTAGCCTTACAGAGACATCCTCGACTCCTCTACCCGCGCCCAACTTCCTCACCTCTAGGCGCGCCCATCCCGGCAGGAACCGACTGCCCTTGGAGCTGGCGGGATAAGGATGGTGTTGTGATCTAACCCTGATTATTTAAAGAAATGTCCTGTTTGCTTCAACAGACTGAAACAATTAGTTCAAACCTTTGGAGACTAATTAGCCCTTTTCCAACAACACTGTTTTCCTGAGAGGGACAAAAGGCCCTATGTCTTTTCAGAGGTGAATGTCATTGTAAAGGCTTCCATCCAGTCCCTATCTCTAAAGGATTTTCCTATGCAGAGTCAGCACCACATTCAGGATGTGGGTACTGACCCCGAAGGAAAGGGTGTCTTTTCCTATTTGGCATAACCCTGGGGGAGGGTGGGAGTCGCCCAGGCTACAGAAAGCCTCTTTCCTGGAAGGTAAGAAGATTTGAAACTACTCTTAGGGCTTGGTGACACTGACAGCAGGAAGAGAGCCCAAGCCCATAATGGACCCTGGTTCTGACCTGACCCTGTGAAGGCTCCCCAGCAGCGTTTCCTGCTTGTCCAAACACCCAACCCCAATGTACTGGAAGCCTCCACAGCCACTCCTAGCCCAGATGTAGGACTTGGTACCCTAAAGCATTTACCCTGCAATGGGCTATCCCTGTTACCCACAATTGTGACCAACCATAGTTCACCAAACCAAAACCAAACTCACTGCCATCGAATTGATTCCAACTCATAGAGACACCCTTTGGGTTTCCGAGGCAGTAAATTTTTAGGAGAGTAGATTGCCTGGTCTGCCTTCTGTGGAGTGGCTGGTGGGCTTGAACCACCAATCTTCTAGTTAGCATTCAAATGCCTTAGGCACTACACCACCAGAGCTCCTTTTCATGGTTTGCTACAAAACCCAATTACAATCCTGTAGAGTAACCTGATTCCAATCCTGACCTCCTGTTTTTTCCCACACTTTATATATGTGGCATTTATCAACTTTAATTGAGCCTCGGCTATCTGGTGTTTTTTTTTTCTTCCTGCCTCTAGTTAGCTGGACCATGGACAGAAGAAACAAAGCAAAATACCCAGTTCATTTTTAACTGGGTTAAAGAAAGTGCTGACTAGTCCATTCATTTTCAGTTTGCAGAGCTCACCTAAAACAGATTTGTTTTCCGCCCCCTCTCAAGGGCTCTGTCTGGGAGAAGCAGAGAGGAAGCACTGACCCAGGGAATGATATCACCCAGGGATTCTGATGGTCAGCATGATAGCTGCCAGGGTTACTGGGAGGGGCTCACTGATCATGCTGACACCAGAGAACCTCTTCTCTGCTTCTGTCTGTCATTAACATGTGTAGTTAAACAAGACAGAATTGTTTAAAAATTTTTATTTCCTCAATTGTTCTTGTTGTAGTTCAAGGCTGTTAAGTTGGCCCCTGACTCATGGCGACCTCATGTGTTACAGATTATAACTGCATCACAGGGTTTTCTTGGCTGTAATCTTTATAGAACCAGATCACCAGGCTTTTCTTTCACAGAGCCACTTGATGGGTCTGAACCATCAACCTTTAGGTTGGGAACCAATTGTAAACCTTTTGTACCACCTACTCTCCTTTATTTATTCAGTTGTTGTTGTTGTTAGTTGCTATCGAGTGACTCCGACTCATAGTGACCCTGTATACAACAGAACAAAACACTGCCCAGTCCTGCACTATCCTCACAATCCTTGCTATGCTTGAGCCTGTTGTCACAGCCATTGTATCAATCTATCTCATTGAGAGTCTTCCTCTTTTGTGCTGACTCTCTACCAAGCTTTATATTCTTCTCCAGGGACTGACCCTTCTAATAACGTGACCAAAGAATATGAAACAAAGTCAGGCCACTCTCGCTTCTAAGGAGCATTCCAGCTTAACTTCTTCCAAGACACATTTGTTGATTCTTTTGGCAATCCATACTATTTTCAATATTTTTCACCTACATCACAATTCAAATGCATCAGTTCTTCAGTCTTCCTTATTCATTGTCCAGCTTTCACATACATAAGAGGCTATTGAAAACACCATGGGTTGGGTCAGGTGCACCTTAGTCTTCAAAGTAACATCTTTGCTCCTTAACACTCTGAAGAGGTCTTTTGCAGCAGATTTCCATGGTGCAATATATTGTTTGATTTCTTGACTGCTGCTTCTATGGGCATGGATTGTGGATCCATGTAAAATGAAATCCTTGACAACTTTCATCTTTCTCCATGTATCATATCATATTATTGGTGTAGCTGTGAGGATTTTTGTTTTATGTTGAGATGTAATCCATACTGAAGGCTGTAGTCTTTGATCTTCATCATTAAGTGCTTCAAGTCATCTTCATTTTAAGGTTGTGTCATCTGCATATCACAGGTAATTATTACCTCAGTAGCATTCATAAGCTAAAGATAAAGATAAAATGACATGTATTGAAAGAAAGTTTCAATATAAATAACATAAATACATTTTCAATATATGCTTTACTTTTTAAAAAAAATGTAAAAAATTGTTATTTGGGTGAAAGTTTACAGAGCAAATTCATTTTCCATACAACAAACAGTTCATATATATTTTGTTTCATGACATTGACTGTTGTTGTTGTTGTTATGTGCTGTCGAGTCAGATCCAACTCATAGCGACCCCTCCTTGGGTTTCCAAGGCAGTATCACTACGGAAGTAGATTGCCCCATCTTCCTTCCGAGGAGTGGCTGGTGGGTTTGACTACAACCCCCATAATGTACCAGCTCTCTTCCCACTTCCTCCCCCTAGTTACCCTTACCCTTACCCTTTCCTATACATTCCTGCCCTCTGAGCTATCTCCCTGTGCAAATAATGCCCTCTGTTCTCCCATGGTTGATTATTCTATGGAGTGCACCTACCTGGTGTAAATGTTCACCTTATACACCTGTCTATGCCTAAGGCACTTGACTGCTAACCAGAAGGCTGGCGGTTCAAACCTTGGAAGGAAGATGGGGCAATCTACTTCCATAGTGATACTGCTTCGGAAACTCAAGGAGGGGTTGCTATGAGTCAGGTCCGACTCGACGGCACATAACAACAACAACTTTGTTTAGCTGTGTGCCACAGGAGTGATTTCAGTTCCAAGCGCAAAGAATCACTAGGGGCCATAGTCTCAGAGGTTTCATCAGTCTCTATCAGACCAATAAACCTGATCTTTTTCACAATATTGAGATTCATTCCACATTTTTCTCCCACTTTATCCAGGAGCTCATTTTGATCCCTTTCTGAGTGGTTAACAGTGGTAGCTGGCACCATTGAGTTCTTCTGGTCTAAGAGTCATGTAGACTGAAGTCCACATGGTCCACATCCCTTGGACTGATAGTTTCCATGGGTCTTTGGTTTTCTTCATTCTTCTATGCACCAAACAAGGAAACACCATTGTTGCATCTTAGACAGCCACTTGGAAGCTTTTAAGACTCCAGTCATTACTCACCAAAGTAGGATGTAGAACAATGTTTTTGGGTAGCATGTTATGCCAACTGAGCTTGATATCCCCCATGACCAATGTCCCAAACCTGTAGACCCAGTGACTCACTCCTTTGGCATGTCTGGTTGTGGCTAAGAAATTATCATAACTTTTCCCTGTTAGCTCTATTATATCTATGGCCATTCTTATTATATGCTTTATTCTTGTATTTGCCATATAAGCATATATCCCCTGAGTTTGGTTATCAAAAGAGCTATTCATAGTTTCTCTATTTTTCTGTCTCCCTTCCTGCCCCACACTGAGCCCATCCAGCTTTCATATAGCTACCTGTTGAGATTATGTATAAAGTACTCAATACATGTGTGCTATCATTATACTTTTAAAAATATAAATCTGATCATGTCTCTCTTCCTTTGAAATTTTAGTGGCTTTGTCAACTATAAAGTGCTAAGAGCATGGCCTACAAACCCAGATGTTTTGGGGTCCCACTCCCTCTCTCTGGGATTGTTTTCAGCAGGTCCTTCTTTGTACTCTGTACCTAGCCACGTCAGGCAGGATTTTTTTTTTTTTTTTTTGCTTTATTTTGTTGCCTTGTCTTTGTCAATCTGCCCTCTTTGCCAGATACACCCTTCTCTCCTTGGCATGTCTGTCTACCAGCTGAAACTTGATTCGTCTTTCAAGACTCAGCTCAAGTGACATATCTTCTAAGACAGAGATGCTTAATTTGAAGTCCATTAAAAATTGCTTTATGTTGTAGACAAAGCAATGTGCTTTGTGAATTTTTATGAGAAGATAACTTATTTTTTAAATCATATTCTTGAAGG